TATAGATGTTTGACAGGAAAGAAGGAGGAGAGATAAGGACTATAGATGTTTGATAGGAAAGGAGGAGGAGAGATAAGGATGACAGATGTTTGAAGGGAAAGAAGGAGGAGAGATAAGGACGATAGATGCTTGATAGGAAGGAAGGAGGAGAGATAAGGACGATAGATGTTTGAAGGGAAAGAGGGAGGAGAGGTAAGGACTATAGATGTTTGATCGGAAAGAAGGAGGAGAGAAAAGAACGATAGATGTTTGAAGGGAAAGATGGAGGGGATCTACTTTTCACTCGGCTCTTTCAAACGAAGACCACAAAGTTTAAAAAAAAACAACAAAAAAACCCACGAAGGTGGCATCGCTACTTTAGAATTACAAAGTTCTATCTGACATTTTTGGCCATTTTAAGTTTCTAAGAAGACCATGAGGCATGAGGTCAGAAACCAAATGTTCTATCTGCTTCATCAAAATCGTAAGATTATTCAGGTTTGTTATTGTTATCGGTGGCCTAGTGGTTAGGCTCTCGGACTCGCAACCGTAAGGTCGTGGGTTCGAATCCCGTCAGGGGCCCGACGTTGTGTCCTTGGGAAAGGCATTTTGCACAAATTTTCCTTACTCTACCTGGGTGGAAATGGGTACCCGGCTATAGACAGTGAACGATCTTGTCAGTTTGATAGTGTTTGAGCGCGTGAAATCCGCAGCTTGCACTGTATGCTTCCGCGGAAGCTGAGAATGTTTCTGAGTGTTCTCAGAGGGTCTGCTGGGGGTAATAATAGTTGTAAAGCGCATAGAGCAAGCTCTTGAGCATGGATATGCGCTATATAAATGCAATTATTAATTATTATTATCAAGATATTCAAAGCATTGCATTCGGAAAAGCTTGACCATCTTGTGAAACTCATATTTCTCAAAACTAGGTACTGGGCAGAGAGAACGTTGTAATTCTAGGGTAAGCACATGCTATGCCTAGGTAAGAGAAAATGAAATGACAGGCTTGTAATGTTCTAAATATATAGAATTACGGCATTCGTCTGCTTGAGTTACGTACGTCCCTTACTTGGGTTTACAGGAAGCTCTCTACTTCGGTTTTTATTGTTATTGTTGATCATCCATGATCATGTCATTGAAGCAAATCAATCTTTTCTAATCAAACCCATCTGTTATCCTGTCTGATTCCATGTAAAACCAAACACCACAAGGCTGGTGAGAAAAATCTATTCTCTCCCCTTACCGTGTGGACCCTGGACATGACCTTGCTGAGCTCATCGCGAGTCTCGTCCGCCATTCGCTGAGCCAGGGAGCGGGCATTGCGGTCGATGATGGCCTGGGCGGGCGCATCGCCGCGGTCCAGGATGGAGATACTTCCCACGTAATTCATGGTATCTGAGGGGAGGAGAGGGGAGGAGAGTGGAGGAGAGGGGGCGGACATTGGTTACTTCGTTAAATCATGGTGTTTGAGGGGAGGAGAGGGGAGGGTATTGGTTACTTAGTTAAATCATGGTGTTTGAGGGGGAGGGGAGGGGAGGGGAGGAGAGGGGGGAATATTGGTTACTTAGTTAAATCATGGTGTTTGAGGGGAGGAGAGGGGAGGGTATTGGTTACTTAGTTAAATCATGGTGTTTGAGGGGGAGGGGAGGGGAGGGGAGGAGAGGGGGGAATATTGGTTACTTAGTTAAATCATGGTGTTTGAGGGGAGGAGAGGGGAGGGTATTGGTTACTTTGTTAAATCATGGTGTTTGAGGGGAGGGGCGGACATTGGTTACTTAGTTAAATCATGGTGTTTGAGGGGAGGGGAGGAGAGGGGGGGGTATTGGTTACTTAGTTAAACCATGGTGTTTGAGGGGAG